ATGGAATATATCACAGCCCACAAGCCAGCAGGTGGTGTAGCATGGGGTAAAGGTGATTTTTAAATATATTAAATTACTTTAAAACTAAAACTTGGACATGTAGAAGCAGTGACTTATTCTCTCCTGGCTTGTTTTAACTTTAATTTTTTCTATGAATGAGTGTTTTTATAGTTACTGTGTTTGTTTGATGGCACACAAAGTGAGGGGCAAGCTACAAGTGATTTCTAAACGAATGATACGAGGGGGAGAATAACGATCACTCATTTTAATCATTATTGATGTCTTGCATTATTCCTCTCCTTTACAAATCAAAATAAAAAGCCATTGAGCTTTTAATAACATGGATTAATTACTTCAGGTTAATGAGCCTAAATAGCAGCGCATATACACGTATTAAAGTATTTACTTCAGTTAAGTAGTCAATTACAGGGAGGAAGCAGGAGGGTAAAGTTTATGTCTTCTTTGACCTTAAAAGCTATGATGGCATCTTTGTGGTGTTATTTTACTGTCGAGAACATGAGGTCAGTCTCTAACCTTCATTACAGACATTACAGTAATGATAGATGCCTTGAATGCATTCATGCTGATGTGGTAAAATGGTGAATGTAAGCAGGATGGCGATGAGACAACACCCGACACCTTTTGCTATGAATGAACAGTCGAGTGATTGTTGGCGGCTATTCATGCAACATCAATGTGTACGTTAAGTATGTAGGTGTTTGGCTCACTTCTGCTGAGAAGGAGCAGGTGAGTTGTGAGAGGTCTCTGAAATATATCCTCACTGGGAGAGAATCAAACCAGATGAGCCCTGGTGAAGCTCTAGAGCTCGGTGCAGGTGGAGGCAGCACGTGACACACACACACACACACACACACACACACACACACACACACACACACACACACACACACACACACACACACACATGGCCACTTAAAGTGCTTTACAGTGCAGTTAATTGCTGTTCACCCATTCACATAAACATTCATATAGTGCATCTATACACAGCACTTTTTCTATGAGGGAATTCAGGGTTCAGTATTTTGCCCAAGGACACTTCGGCATGCAGACTTGGAAGACTGGGATTGAACTGCAGACCTTCAGGTTAGCTACCTCAGCTACAGGGCCCTGCATCCTTCCTATAAACTTGTACTCCACACCAGCGCTGTGTGTCACTGTATGGACATGAAGCTGAATTTGGTAGAAGTCCATGACCCTCCAACCACGCATCACAGTTAGCTTTATATAATAATTCTGATGTTGGACGTCATTTCGTTAATCAGATTCTGACCAGCAGATGGAAGGAATATATAATTCCATAGGCTCATACATTAGGAAGGAAGTAGCTGCTACATCTGTCTTCCTATGCGTGTGATTACATTTGCATAGAAGTAGCAGGCGTGGGTTTGTCTCAGTGAGCGAAACTGCAGCGATCGTAATACTTGATTCCCATTTTACAAGCTTTGAATGCCAAATGTCCCTCATGATTGGTTTGGAGGATGACTTGTTCCATCCTACCAGCTGCAGTAAATGTTGAGCGAAATAGCTTCCTTTGTTCTGTTTTCATCATCGCTACTTCCTCTGTGTTCTTTTCATGTGTCTCCCCGCCTCATCTTTACAATGCAGCTCGCAAACACTTGTGAGTCAAGCTTTTAAAAAAAGGAACTTTTCACACACACACACACACACACACACACACAAACACTCACACACAGCAGAAACAGGTTATCTGATTGATGTTAGGCGTGTGCTTTAATCTAGAGGAGTGCTACTTCACCACTGCGTCCCAACTCTGAAGTGTTTAGGCTGTAGAAGAGTGCAGCTCTGCCTCCATGAAAACAGAGAGGGAGGCAGAATGTAGATCAATATCCCAGGAACACACCAGAGACATTCTATTTTATTAAACATTTTCCCATTAAGGCAGTGATCCGAGTGTTGTAGATCATCCCAACAAAGTCGTAAATCACAGACAGACAGCGGCATTGGAAACAATGGGCAGAATCAGAGGAGATTACCTAGAAACAGAAGATATTTGTTGTTTGTGCTGCTGGGGGACTCATGTATCTTGGATCTGCCACACATTCTAACTGAGGAAATGCTTCAGTGATAATGTTTCATTCAAATCATTTTCATGTCCATCACATTTTATCATTGACATGGCCGATCTTGATCATTAACTAACTGAAGTACCTAATACAACACAAATTACTTTTTATTTTATTATGCTATNCACACACACACACACACACACACACACACACACTTTACAGCCTCAAGATTACAGAGAAAACCAAACTTAAGGACAAAGTTTGTGTGTTTTCCCAGGTGCATGTCTCGAGTCATGTGTGCAAGTATGAGCTCCATAAATGAGATCACAAGAACATAAGTGAGGATGAGACGAGAGCTGAGGTGTGATTAAAGGTGAACGATGCCTCAGCTGGACGACAGGTCAGTGGACGCAACACTAACATTCATTAGATAACAGCCGTATGAAGAAAGACGTTATAATTTAGGATTTTTACAAATGTAGCCGTCTGTTTGTCATATTTTCAACCAATAGAATGTGTCAGTCTGAGAAGAGGAAGCTGTGTTTCATTGGAATATAAGTGTGTGTGTGTGTGTGTGTGTGTGTGTTTTCCCTCTTCCTGCGCTGCATACATTCAGTGGTCAGGCATCAGAGGAGCTGCAGGTATACTCTGTCAGCTCGGTGCCCTGAGCTCTCTGACGCATCACTGACACCCGTGCACACTGACACCCATCACACACAGTGCACCAAACACACCGGATGGATTTTTCTCCGTATCCTGAGTGTACCTGGTTATCGTTATACATTGTGACGTGCAGGCAGGGACGAGGAAAAGGTGAGATGAGTGAATAGGGTAGAAAAACACAGAGCCATATTTGTAAGTTAACCTTAAAAGAAAATGTGAAAATCTGTGTTGGCTTCAGTAGAACATAGGTTTTTTTTCATAGTGTGTGTTTGGAGGTTATTTATGGCAATTTATAAAATATTGAATTCAAGTAGATATCAACATGCTTTCTCCTTTGGCCTCGAAACTTTATATTCAAATCCCAAATCAGTGCAAGCGAGTGTTTGAGTGTTAGAATTAGGGTAAAGTAATTTGTCATCAAATAATGTCCCCTGACATCAGTATCAAAATGATAACGTATCATCTATCATTTTCAACAGCGTTCTGCTCATTTTATCTCTCATTTAGCGCAGCGCAGCGTATTGGCGGTGGAACACACCCCGGCACAAAGTGTTGCCCGGAGGCTCGGCGAAGATGATTGAATTKCATAGTTACTTACAGGCTAATAGGGCCATACAATGACTACTTACTGTCCTTAAGTGATTGGCTGCTTCTCCGCGGCCGTGGCCCCTTTGAAGCCCTTCTGAGAAGATCTGGAGGATTTAGCCAGTAGCGTGACATGAGGCTGAGCGGTTGAGCAACGGTGTTCCCAACAGCTGACTATTAGAACCAGCTGATAAAAACACAGAGGCTACGACGATGGGAACCTCAGCCCTCCGAGGGTTACTTAATACGAGGCTTTCTCACACTGCAAATTTAGAGCGCTATGTTAGGTTTCTTGGGGAATATACTGGGATTAGATGTATTTTGTAAAAGCTGAATAAGCTAATCAATGACAGAAAAATTCATCTTTAACAATTTTGATTATTCATCACATATTGACTTTGTTGTATGAAGCAAAAAACCCAAAATATTCGGCTTTTCAAATGTCAAGATTTTCTACGTTTCAGATTATTTTAAAGTAAATATATTTTGTTTTATTTCACCTTGATTAAACAAGCTGAAAAGTATTTGGAGATTTAAACTCCAGGCAACCGAGGACCAGGTTTTAATATTTATTTGAAATTTGTTAAACAAAAAAATTATTAGATTTTGTGACAAATGCAAAACAGAGAAATCAGTTTTTCGATCTAATTCAATAATGAAAATAATCTGTTTGAATTATATTTATTTTGTCTTAAAAAGAAAAATTCTAAATATTTTTAATGAAAGAATGCAAACATATTTATGTTTATACTGCTCGATTACAAATAAAGTCTCTCTGCAGTTCTTTTATAATATTATTACTTCATTTTCCAGATTTACATTTATAGATATATATTTTCCTCCTAGTTTGTAAAATACACACAAATACAAAAACACCATATGGAGATGTATATAACTGTAAGGTTATTATTGATTTGTGTGTGTGTGTTCATTCTTTACCAGAAGGCGACTGAATCTGTGAGCGCTTTACTCACAGAAGCTGTTTCCACATACAAACCACCCTCTCCTCACCATGATGTTCCACTTACACTCTTGGAACACCAAACCATACATGCATACAGATAAGCACATGTGCACGCCAAACACACACACTACACACACACACTACACACACACACACCGAGTTAACCACATGCACATGTTCACTCGTGCTTAACTAATTCATACAGGAACACTTTGGTTTGGGTTTCAACACCAAAACCTCCGCACCTTTGATTGAGAAATGTGTCTGACTGCAATTATAAGGGAGGGAGGGATGGAGAGAGGAAACGCTCCACGGTGGTTTTATAGTTTGCTGGCGTGACATTTTTCTCCCCCCTATTTTTTTTTTATTCTTTTCCTTTTTCCAGCAGAGGGGCATAGTGTTGACAGGGCAGGAAAAGGGGGCAGACTGAAGTAGAAGTAACAGCAGGGAAAATTAGAGGAAAATGGATGAGCAATGGGACTGAAGTGGCCTAGATTGTCACTGTTGTGATCAATACCTCTCAAAATAACTGCAGAGCCAAAGAAATGAGTAGATACTCTCTGTGAGAAAGTAAAGGTAGTGATCGGGAAGATTGCAGACACATACAGAAGCATGTGCCGGGAGGCGTTTGTATGTAAGCAGGGAGGAAGTAGTGTTAATATATGGTCTTGACATTTACACTAAACCCACATGATGCTTTACATGTGTTCGTGGCGTTAGAATGCGTGTTGGTTGCTGACCTGCAGTATGTAGCCCCTGACGTAGTCTCGGAGGGTCCAGCCCAGGCCGTGCAGGATGTGCAGCACCTCCTCCTGCTTGAGCACGGAGAAGAGGCGGTCGAGGAGGATCTTGAGTCTGACGGGTACGGCCTGGGTGCCGTACAGCATCAGGCTACTGATGTCGAACACCACATTGGACTGAACGATCTCCACCTGGGTCGGGTGGTAGAGGTGCTGGGTGCTGAGCTTGTCCAGAGCTGCGTAAACGATAAGGTGACAGAGGGAAGAAAGACAAGAAAACAGACGAGAGAGGGAGGGAGAGAGAGGAACGGTTAATGACTATCAAGTTTCTGTCTCTCTCATCTCAAATGTTCCTCAGGAGGCTCCTGCACAGTCAGCACTAGCTGATAATAACATACTGTATCTATCAGATAAATGCAGTGGCATTAATGTAATTATCTGCCATTCTTTCTATTTAATCTAATCTCTTGCTCTTTCACATTTACGCTGCTCTTGCATCTCCGTTTTTTATTTTCCTCCTCTGTCTCCTTCTCCACCTGACCTGCACTCGACCTGCGTTACACTCTCTTCCGTCTCGAACTTTAATTCTTTCTCTGTCTAAGCAGACCTGCATTTCTTATTGCAATACCTCACATCACATTTAGATGTATCCAGTAATCAGGTCTTATGCACCAAGAAGGCAAGAGTCTCATTTCTTTTTCAGGTTGTGGCTTTCATGATATTCATATTTCCTGCAGTGCAGTTATCTACACTTGCTTTATCATGCATTTTATAACAACTTCTAGCAAAATACTTATAAATCCTGTGTAGATTCCTGATGCACTAGTCATTATTTTAACTATACCATATAAAAACTGACCTTTGACTGGAATATGTTCTCTTATCTTTGATTTATATTCATTGGTGAGTTTTAAGAAGAATATTAACTTTAACTTAACAATTATTTTTAACCCAGGAAACATACTGTAAATGAAATATGGAAGTCATTTTTTCCTGCCTGAGTGTTATCTCTCTGGATCTGCAACATTCTCCAGCAACCTGTGTGTTGTCTGGGGGGGGCGAGACTCGAGGCAAAAACAGCCAAACGCTGGCTGCTCATAAAGCTTAATAGTGAGCAAAGGATAGCATGAGTTATTGCCCCCTCTAACGCAGCCTCAGTCACCTCTTCCTCCTCTTCTGGCTGTCTGGGCGACACCTGGTCCTTTCTCTCACTTCCTCTCCCTTTCAATCCTTCTCTCTTCCCTTACCTCATACCCCCACCTACTCTCCCCCTGCCTGTCTGGGTGACACCTGGTTGGGTCTCTCTCTCTCTCTCTCTGATGCTGGGACGGCTCTTTCCTGCTGACGAGGTCTTTGCCTGACAACGCAGCGCAGCCAGACACGAACATAATAAAAAATGAAGAACTACTTGTCAGAGTCCCTGCCAATGCCGACATGAAATGAAAAGTGGGGGAGAGAAGAGATGGGCGCCTGACAGTTCAGAGGGAGAGATTAAAAAGTAGTCAATGGGGTCCTGTGCGATCCGCTGAAGGGCCCGTGGCCCGCTCTTGTGCGGACTCAAGCCAAACAGGTGTTTTCTTTTATCATTTTTTCCCCTCCTCCTTCTCTTTGTACTTTCCTGCCTCCTCTCCATTTTTCTTATACCCGTGTGAAAAACTCATGAGGTGTGGTCCCTCGCTTAGTCTCAGTCGTGTGGTTATGATTTGTTTTTGATCTGAGGTGCAAAAACCAGCCTTTGAAATCAGCAGAAAAACACAGAAGCAAACAAAAATAGCAAAGTTTCTTCTGGTGTTTTGGATTTCAGAAACTGTATTCTGTAGTAAATAAAGATAGTTCTAAACATATTGCAATTTTGAGAGATGTGGACCACAGCAAGAAGCAGCAGTTTCATATGGAACAGAGTTCACAAGTATTAAAACCATATTTGTCAGTAAAACATTTGCTTACCGTGAGCTACCCAGCCATGTTTGCACTGGTCACATGTTCGTAAGTGAATCTTGCCCGGCTGGAAACACTCGCATGTGCAGTTCACCAGTGTGCAGCGAATGGCCTGTAGAGACACAGAGCAGAGAGAGAACTCATCGTCAGTCAAAGCTCAGGATCGAAGGACAGATGATGAGTCTTAGACAAGAGAAAGCAACAGCTGAGAGTTTAGGAGTGTTAAACAAAAGAAGAGGCCGTCAGACTAATTCATTTTTTATGGAGAATATTGCAGAAGAGCAGCTCAAAGTATTTTGCTGTAACTGCTCCTTAAAAAATGTGACAATATTCTTACACAGAACAGCCGCAGCTACAGCCAGTGCCAGAAAGAATAACTCTCAGCCCACAAATTTCCCAACCACTATTTCATCCCAGTGTGTGAATCTGCCGCTCCATACTGTAACTTCCCAGAGTTCATGTGAACCGACAAAGGACTTTCCTTCCTGAAAACATAGAAATGTAACTTGTTTTGACTGAGGCTCCATTACTCAACACTGGAGCTGCACTTAGTCTGACCTCGGAAAGCTTTTAGCTGTGAGAGGTTAAGTGTCCAGACTTGACGAGGGCAACTCGGTGCGGCGCGGTGCAGCATCGTCTGCTGTGGCTTACGCGCTCCGTAAAGCCGGCTGTCAAACACTTCAGGTAGAGGTGTTTTCACGTTCGTCAAACGGTAAAGAGATTGTACATTGTGGATAAAATGTATGATACACCCACGCAAATGAATAATGCTCTGACACCCAAATGAGCGCGGCAGCTGCGAGCTGTAAATTTCACACAGACACAGAGAAACAAGGAGTCAGAGTAAGAGGAGTGAAAAGGGAACAAGATATTAGAAACATGAATCTTAATAAGCATTGGTAACCCTTTCTTTATCGTACATTTTTACATTATTAAGATGAATCGATGAATAAAGATATAGTAACACTTTTGCAACTGCAGTTGGAGACGGACGGGTGCTACAGACATCACTCGTGGAAAAAAATATTGAAAAAAGAAAAACAACTTAACTTTTTATTTCCTAAACAAACATGTAATCTTAATTATACTTATTTAAAAAGAGTTAATAAGTTGACATTTAACATGATATGTTTCACATTTGGCACATAGGGTGTTGAGTCAGTGTGGAATGACAGTTTATATTTTCCTAAGTGTTCATTCTTAAGGCTTCAAAGAGAGAAAAAAAAATCTGTGAAATTACAGAGGAAAACATCTCAGGAATGTGCGCAGGAGGAAATTAGGTGTAGTGTAATAGGTGACTGCTGTGAGAAGCTGCCATTTCTTTTGATTTATAGTATATGCGGGGAAACTTCTGGCACTATCGGTAGGTGTTGGTCACAGACAAGAAGAAGTGACAAAGTGTCCTCACAGTTATCACAGCCTGAAACTTTATGTATTTACAATCTGCACTTAATATGCTATCCCTCACTGTCTCGCTGTTATTCCCACAATAGTGTGACACGGACACAAGGGGTCGTAGGTTGGAGTCCATGTCTGCACCAATAACCTACATTTCACAACGCTAGAAACTGTCAGTCAGCATCTCCAGATAGAAAAGGATCGGCAGCACACATCAGTGTTCACTTCACACAGCGTGAGGCACGACACACCGAACCCACCACCATTAGTTCATTGTGGTGTCTAACAGCAGAAGACAACATCACCGAGCCTGTGGATGATTCCGATATCCTGTAATTCAGGATATAAAAGTCAGCTCACTCATAATCTACTGAAAAACCATAACGTCTATGAGAACACCTCCCCCCCCTTCGCCCTAAGGTGTTTTAAACCAGATTAGTAACTGGAGGTGTCAAAGTGAACACGAGCTAATCCAAGATTAAATGCAAAATTACACCACTTCTAACCGTGTCACCTCTCTGTTTGACACCGAACGAGACAGGAGAGGGAGATTATTCGACTTTACACCGTTTCTAAGCTCTCCAGGTGCAGGCTCGGCAATCCTCGCGGTGCGTGAGGATTAGACGCCGTGTGTCAGCCGGAGCCTGCGCACGTTATGCACTGAGCTGACGTTCTTATCCAGAGAAATATGTGCAATTGGTGGCTTCAGTTTTCCTTCGCTCGAGGACACTTACGCAGCAGATGTGAACTCTCAGACTGGGAAACCTGTGACCTTTCAGATACGGGATGAACTCTTTTGTCTGCTCCGCTGACCTGAGGTAACTTCAGCAGAAATAAGTCAAAGAACATTTATATTTAGTTTTTGAAGCAACTTCCCTGTTCGTGAAATCATTTTTTTAAGCTTTTCTTCGTCTTTCTTTCTTTTCTTTTTCTTTATCTTACTGGTCAGATCTAGATTTATTTTTAAGGAGGCATCTATTCCCTTTTCATTTACTTTATTGTCAAAAAAATCATTAGTCGCTTCACTAATCACGTTGCACACTTTTGTCCTTTCCTTTGTGTGGCACTCCACCTGAAAGTACATTTTTAAGTGAATTCCTTGTCAGATTTTTTAAATTATTTTTGCCACAGAGGTTTTTCCTTTTTATGTAACTCTTTATGCATAAAGATTTTTTGCAAACACTAATTGAGAGAATCTGGATTTAGCACAGTCATGTCACAGAACACAACCCCTTTCTCTAATTACCTCTGTGCGGCAGCGCTAAGAGCAGCAGACGGAAATAAACAAATGGAAATATCAAATGCACCTCTGCTGTTTACGAGCTGGGGTCTGACAGCTGACAAGATAGTTAAGGGGTGTCTAATACGGCAATTAAAGTGTGCCACTGTCTGCGGGGCTGCCGCTGTGACAAGGCGCCCTCTAATCACTGACTTATTACGCCAGCTAGAAGCACCTCTCATATCTGGCCCATTAAGCAGACAGCAGCATTAAGAAGCATTAAAGCAGCAAGCCCCTTCAACTGAGGAGGCACTGATGGGAGGAAAAGGGGAAGGGAGGGGATGGACTGTGCCTGTTATTTCTCTGGATTAATTTGTTCATTGTTCAACACTCAGTCAGGAGCGTGTTAGCAAAAGGTAACAGGAGAGATGTTTGAGATGTGACAGCATCAAAATGGATCATACGCAATAAGATGAAAGATTACAGACTTATGGAGTTTTTTAGAGAGGGAGCAGAAGTATGTGTCAAAGATGGCCGTCACAAACAAGATCATCAAGGCTGTGAGTTCATGTGTGGCTCGTCAGTGGAAACAAGGCAGACGAAATCACAAAGACTTGTACTCCTGATTCCCTCGTAATCAAAACTCTGTTCCTCTGGCCAGCGTGGATCTGGGTTGCATTTGGCCCTGGTTTAACCTGCGTCTGAGCTGAGCCGGGTCAGGGACAAGCCTGGATCCCACTACAACACACTCGTACATATTTGTCACAGCAGGCCGGGGGAGTAGGCTATGTTATCTGTGGCCTGGCCAGATACACAGCATTAGTCACTGTGCTAGCGTCTCGCCAGGGTTTCCTCTTTGGCTCGCAACTAAAGAGGACGATGGTGAGGAAAAGGACAGAGGGGGGTGCATGAGCAAGTATGTGTGTGTGTGTGTTAGAGTAAATTACCAGAAAAATGAGTAGCTAGAAAGTGAAAGCTTTGAGCGAGCAGGAAAAACCCCCCAATGGTGTAGCAATTAGACCCAGTCACTCTTTTACTTCTGTGTTGCCTCTATGGTCAACAACTTAACCTATAGCTGCGTTCAGAAAGCATCATTTTCATCCCTTATCTGGATCAAGTGTGTGTGTGTATGTGTGTGTTTCGGTGCTGGGTTTTGTTTAGCTCGAGGCTTGATGTTTCATAGATGTTTTGCTTGGCTCGCAGTCCCTGTCCCAGCCCAATTGTATAAACACTGACAGTCAGCAATGGCCAGCATCAGACTGGGGAGGACTCTCAATTAAAAGGCCGTTAGTGGGACAGATGGACTGAAGAACTGCATGAAAGAGGAACTGCAAAACAAGATGGCTTCAGTCTGGACTCTCATAGTGAGTTCCAAGAGGATTTCAAACAGATTGAGTGGAGGAGACGAGCTACATGGCCGTTACGTGCAAGGCAGGCCAACCCTAAACCAAAAGGCACAGATAGAGGTCAACCAAGACACTGAATTGGCCTTTTTATGTCCCATGAAACCATAGAACGGCAGTGATCCTAAACTAATATCCTGTACAACTGAATTGCTACTCTGTCTTTTTTTTTTGAACAGTTGACATTGTAACTATATGCCACAGAAAACACCGCTAAAACATCAGTTGCCTTGTCCCTTCCAGCCTCTGTATCCTCTCTAGACAGCTTACAATGGAAAGCCAACTCAGACAGCTGCTGGATGCAGGCTGGGTATTGTTCCTCCTACTTTAATTGAAACCTTTACCATGTTCGACACACAGCCACAGACCACATTTCTTGTTTGGTGAGTTAAGCAAAAGCCGAGACTTAAATGAAAACCCTGTGTGTCCGCGCGCATCTGTGTGCATATGTGCGCCTCGTCTTTGCAGCAGCGGCTTCGGATTTAAATTTGTCTCTGCTTAGGGTCACTGTAAAACACTGGGAGCATCTTGTCCTCTCTTCCACCCACAAGATATTATCTCATCCATGAGTTAGCTGCTGAAATGCTGTCAATTTCCTGCCAGAAATGTGCAGCCAACGTGTGTAGGAAAAGAGGCACAGCAGCTTTGCGTGTCATAAAGCAGGCCGGGGCTCTGTCTGATAGATCAGGACTTCACGATGTCCATATTGGAAACAGGTGACAAATAAAACATGCCGAATAAAGAAAGGCTTTGTAGTCAGACACAGCACGCCATGAAAATACAGGGGAGCGAATACCTTGTGCCAAGGCTAATTTTTGCTTGTTTGATTTTATACATTATACATTTGACTTGAAACAGAGCTTTCTTGCCTCACAAAGTGGTACAAAATAAACAACGATTAATCACTTGTGCGCTGACTTCAGCTGAAAAACTCTATGCAGGGGGAAAACCGTAGTCAACAGAAAAAGCCGAGCGTCTTCCCCCTGAAATCCCCACAGTGTAAAAGCCCGTCCCGCATGTCAGTTCTGGTTTTTGAGCCGAGCGGCTGGCAGTCACAGAGCCAGAGGTCCCTGTCCTTTGTGCAGCTGTGCGTCTGGGCTTTGACACGGGGCAGAGCGACCATAGCTATGCTAATGGGAACCAAATGGGGCGTGAGTCCCTGGTGGATTACAGAAGGAGAAGAGAAGCATGTGTTTTCATGTATTCATGTGGAGACCTGGGACCCCTCTCTTTTCTTCCTTTCTTTTTTTTTTCTCCTCCTTTCTTCCAAGTCAAACAAATGGAAGCAGCCATCTCTGTTGTTTGCACGCACCCTCGATTAATGCTCAGTGCGACTTGACAGGTTTTAACAGTTATTGTCAATCAGTAAATGTATCTAAAATCTGACGAAATGTATACGAGAAGCTATTACAGAGTTTGGTTTTAGCCGTCTTTAAAGGCGTGTTAGGAACGTAATGTAAACTACTTAGTTTGAATTTGAAAAGAGCCAGATTTGACAATGAACCTTGGAAATGAATTCAGCAAGTTAAATAAACATTCAATAAGACGAGTGAACGGTAAAGTTGATCTGACCATCAGCACTCTGTGAGCACATTGTGAAAAACTGTAACATAGGTTTCAGCTGTTTGGCACTGGCTCGCAGTCTTGCTGCACTTTGCTTTCACCTGCTTTGATGTAGCAGCGTTAAGGTATTCCTGACCCAAAGACTGAAGAGGTCATAAATTGGTCAAGTCTGCAAATGTAGAAGTGACAGATGTAGTGGAGAAAATACAGAGCCTGGTTCAAATTTGATCAGATAAATGTTGAGAGACACATCTCAGATCTTCTTTTTTTGATGCCATCTGTCACATCGGATCCTCTCTTCAACCTTTGGTGAAAACTTTTGTAGAACTCGGTGCTGCTCCCTGCTCGTCATGACATTACACTGCAGTCTTCATTGATGAGAATCACTAATCAGGATCATAAATGTGAATTTTTATGATTTTGAGTGGTGATGTCTGTGATCAGTTGTCATTACAGATGATTTCAACTCTGTCCAGAAGTTTGTCTGCTGTCAGACGTGACTCACACTCTGCACTTCTTCACACACACGCACACTAACCTCCAGAATCAAACCCGCACACAACAGAGTAAAACCTCTGCTTCCAACATTCCTGGTCCGTCTGTGTGGTTCTGACACACACAGAAAGTAAATCTCCCCATCATGCATGAGCACCACCCAAAAAAATTTCAAATCAGATCGATGATGAAACTTTGGGTCTGACTCACTCGCATGATAAATAGCCCTGCGTGTACTTCAGGACAGTCGTGCTTGTTTATGGAGTGGTCAGATAAAGGACCCAGCTGGCTTTGATATTGTGAAACAACAGAGAGGGAGCGGGGAGCGTAATATCACAATACTGGTCCAGCTACACAGCCCTGTGATCTCTCAGTCAGTGCAGCCATAGAGGGAGAGCTGTACCACACCGTTAACACTGGACTGCACTGTCAGTTCAAATAGCGAGGCATCAA